CTGTATGACAAGAGTCCAGAGTAAGTGCACAGCTGTGTGGACTAGGGGGAGGTTGGGGGAGGAAGGAGGAAATTTTAAAACAGTGAATGAATCTTTTTTTTAAAGTGAACTCAGGGGTGGGGGGGGGGGGGAGGAAAATCTGCTACAATGAGTGAATAAAAATCCAAGTTTTTTATGAACTTTTGTTATAATTACAATTTTTAAAAAGTCCAAATAGTTAATGCCATGAAATATATTTATTTTTAAATTTCAAATGTAATACTGTTAGGGCTATTTTTGGTTCTATGTGGTTTATTAGTTACCATATAAAAGCATGAAAGATTTACGTTTTAAATATTACTTTGAGAATTAATCTGTTTCCTCATCCGTATTAGAAGAAAAACAGCACCTGCCTTATAAGGTTGTGTGAGGATTAAATGAATTAATACACACAAAATAACAACCAACCCCCCACCCCCAAAATTCATTGCTGCTGGGTTGGGACCAACTCATAGCTGGCCCTCCAGAGGGTGTTTCAGAGGAGATAAACAGCACAGGAGGAGACTGCCCATCCTTCTCCTGTGGAAGCGCTGGTGGACTCAAACCTCCAGCAGTGCCTGGCATACTGTAAGTACTCAATGATTGTTAGGTAGTGTTCTAATACTGCATAGATGGAGGAAAGCATTCCTGAAGCAATGAAGTGGTCTTCATCTTACTGTTTTCACACTATGTGTAGGAGACCTGAGAACGCTACCACAATTCACTGTCGTCTCTGAGCACTCAGGACACTGGAAGCAGCTTCTCTTGAGATCTGGTACTAACACGCTCAGCTTTCTCATCTATAAAATGGACCTAAAATCCACCTGCTTGATTTATAAGGCAACTTCTGATCTCAAGTGAGGTCTTAAAAAAAAGCACTTTAGAGATTGCAAAGCACTATCAATGAAGATTTTTGGTACAAATTTAAGTTTTCTGGTGTAAGCTGTTGGACACAGAAAGTTTATTACTCATAGTTCCTAAAGGTCCTTTTAAAAACATAAAACTGTGGTATTCTTCTTTCTACCTATAATACACTTTATAAAACAGTAACATGATTTACTACAAAACTGGATTCTTCCTCTTGGTCCTCCACTCATTGTAAAGTATTAACAGTGGCAGATTAAATATGTCCCTTTAAAAACTGCAAAGCTTAAACTCTGTGTCTTAAAAGTTACCATTAACTAAGACATTAACTAGCTTCATTAATTACTAAATGCTATTTACAAACATCATTTGTCGGAGTCCTTGTGGAAATCCCATGATGGAGGTATCTTAGTCTCATTTTTCAGAACTTGAACCTAACAGATTGTAAAGTCCATGATCTTAACTACTATGCTACTGTACACAATAAAAATACAGGAAGAAGAAAGGCACAATTATTTCTGTCTTGACCAAATCATACACCTATGTAAACAAGTGACCTGGTGACTCGGTGTGTGCCACTGAGTTGGAACCAACTTATGGTTGACCTTTCAGCAGATTTTCAGAGCAGCAAACTGCCCAGGAAGAGACTGCCCATCATCCTCTTCCCACAGAGCGGGTGGTGGGGTCAAACCACATGCCTTGAGGACTGCAGTGCAGCGTCTTACCACTAGGCCACCAGCGCATCTCACCAAGAGACTCAAGAACTCAACTCTGTTCTCATCTTTGATAATGAAAGTGACTGTCGTCAAGTTACTGCATAACAAGTGCTTACTACACTGAGTTAAGTTTAAATTGCTAAAAAAGGCATTTAAAATACTTTGAAAATAAAGCATTGCACTGCAGATGAAAATATTTTTAATTTGCAGATATACAATAGTAAATTTTGTAGAGACAGAAAATACTATTCTAGAGATACATATTGTCTGTATCTTTCCTAATTTTCCAATTTTTACCAAGCAGTTAAGAATAATCTATGTTAGTGGTATTAGACTCAAATTATACTGATTGTGTAAGAAGTGTATGTGAGAAAGTCTTGATTTTTGTATCTGTTTATGCGTACACACAAACACTGACTTTTTTTGGCTGTGCAAAGATTTAGTTTTCAGAAGGCCTAATAAAATATTGTTTCTAAGTCATTCGTTTATGCCAAAATTACATCTATGAGTGAATAAACTATAATTAAAAATTTTGAGACAGATAGCATATTCAAGATAAGTAAAATTCTTTACAGGGATCATATCAATGCTGAACAAGTAAAAATTCCAAAAAAATTTCTACATTTTTAAAATGATAGAAGACAGAAGGAAGAAGAATGTCAGGTCAGTAGAACCGTTAAGGGTAAAGATTCCAAGTATTAGGCTAAAATGTGCAATGCCATGTCACTGCCATTCTGATCAAAGTGCCACTGGACATAATTTATAAAATAACAAACTCAGAAGTTCAATACATATGTACAAAATTCTTCACAGAAAATACAACGTAGGCTAGGATCAAAACTATTAAAAATAAACCTAATAGTGCTATGTCTTATGTAAGAGGTTGAGGTTAGTCACACATTCTAAGAATCTGTTTATATAGTTTTAGTATGACTTACTCAAAAGGACACTAATCTACTAAAGAGAAAGTATCTTAAAAAAAAACAAACAACTCAGTGTAGGCTAGGTAAACATAAGAATGTTCAATAAAACTGTACTTTGAAAAATAAGCTTCAGACTAATCTAAAACTGTTAAGGCAAACAAAGGGAAAACTACTGAGTTCTATATAATGCTACTGAATTTTTAGCTTACACGAAAATACATACATAGACACAGACATGTGCATATTATGCATGTATTATACTGAAAAAACAAATTATCGGATATTTCTAAATTAGTAAATTGTACATACATTTATTTTTTTTTTATAAAGAAGAACTGCTTATGTCCTTACTAAATAACTGACTAAAATGCTTTCACCCTGTCCAACTGGAAAAAGAGAAGTATAATCAAATGAGATTAAGAATAAAGAAATCCTAGTCTCAGTGAAAGATGTATTAATGTTTACATTGTTTTGTTATATAACTGTTTTTAGAGAAACAAGTTTTTGAGGTCATGCTATGGAATTCTAAAAACGATTGCTTTCAATGTCTTTTTAAAATGAGCTTTTAGTGAGTACATGAATTAAACAAAAGTCAGGATCTATGCACTGTCAAAATTCAGAGATTTACATAACTTGAATTAAAACAAGGTTATGCTATGCTTCAGAAAGATTTTAAAATACACAAAATGGGCAGATGATAGTGTTTAAAATATTACAATTAAAATCTAGCACTCTTCTAATGGTATATTATGCCACAGTGTTTTATAAATATTAGATAAACATAAAATTTACTTGATGTTTTTAAAAATGTTGCAAGTAGATTAAATCTCAAACATAATGAATACATTTTAGGATAAAGAAGAATAAACTTTTAAATAGTTAGAAAGAGAAATGACAATAATTTAAAAAGACTTCTATTTATCTTCAGTAGCTGTTTCCTCTGGAGTTAAATATAGCAACCACAAAAATATTAGATATGGATATACAATCCCAACCGATGGCATGAAAGCATTTCACACTGAATACTTCTAAGTATTTAAGGCCTAGAAAGTGGTCTAAGAAAGAATCATAAACAACGCTCATCATTTCAATCCTGAACAGAATAATTTAAATCTATCTAGGCAGCAAAGGGAAATCTGCCAAGTTCTAGAAAAATTTCTGAATTTTTAAATCACGTGAAATTACAGACATACATACACGTGTCTGTGTATATATTATACAAATAAACAATTATATTTTTACCTAGTCAATTATATGAACTTTTTGGGGGCAACAAACCAAACCAAAGCCACAAATTTGCATCCAATGCTTAATAAACGGAAAATTACTAAGAAAACACACTCCCATTCTAACTGGATACAGCTATCACAGTGAATTCTTCAGTTAAAGAACATTGCAAAGGCAGTAATGTATCTCTAAATTCTTTTCTCCTTAAAAGTCATACTATTTCTATTCAGGAAAAAAAAACCACCAAAAACTGAGTAGATTTACATATCCTGAAAGACTTTATCTTCAACTTTTTCTTTGTAAAGTTACAATACCCAACTTTTTCTCTGTAAAGTTATAATATCCATTGCCACTCAGTCAGTTTTGATTGACAACAACTCTGTTAGACAGCATTAATAATACGTTAGAAATTGTTATAATAAAAATAGATAAAAATTCTCTCTTAAAAGCATTTTCAAAATCAAAGACAAGAACAAAGAGTAAGATAAAGGTTTCTTATTTACCATTCAGATACTCTTTCTATACAGAGATGCAGTCTCATTCTGTTGTTCTTACATACATCTGAGCTTAACAGCAACCGCAAGCCTTGCATGGCAGGTGTCATTAAACACTCTGTCAACCGGATCCTGTTGTTGCTGTGTACTGCAGAGGTGGCTCTGACCCACAGCTGACCCTCCAGTGGGTTTTCAGAGGCAGTTAATTGCATCAGAGGAGACTGCCCATCCTTCTCCTGCAGAGCAGCTGGTGGCCTTGAACTGCGTGCCTTCGGGGGTGCGGCGCAGTTTCTTGCCATTAGGCCACCAGCCCTCCCTGAACTGGATCTTAGAGCCTGTTAAGTTGGTGAAATTTAGACATTCAAATGCATAATAAAGGCAGGAAAACTCAGTTAAAGTATTTGGTATTGTATTCACCATAAATTATCTTATGGTAATATTCCGTAATTCTATATACAGTTGTGTGTAGACTTTAGTCTTGTGTCACACAGTAGCTTAGATTACAAAACAGTAGTTCAAATGATATCAATACTTAGCTGGTTCAAAGCCAGAATGGAGGAATTTGCTTATAATAAGTTAAGTTCAAAAGGAGCAGTTTTATTTTTCACATCCGTTATGAGAACTGAGCAATGGGTTTCTTGATATCATAAAGGCAGAAATCAAGCTTTTCCTAAGTTTTGGTGATGATGAGGCGTGGGGGAAGCAGGTGGCCAGGAGTTCCCTAAGTTACGGTGAAGTTATAGTGGTGGTGAGGACGGGGTAGGGGCTTACTACAACACATGACGGAGCTGCACTGGAGCTGGGCAGCCTTGCTGTGCATCAGTTATTCGTAAAGGCTGAGTGAACAGAATCCCCTTCATCATACAGGCACCGCTGTCTGCACTACAGTAATACAGAAACACGCGGATAGATACAGTGACTTCAACTGATAAACAATCACCAGGAATCTGCAGGGAGATGGTTGGCTGACTGGCAATGCTTTCTATTTCTCCAGATGGTGTCTGTCCTTGAAAAAGCCATTCATTACCTAAAAAAAAAAAGAGAGAGAGAGATATTAAGACTATGGACTGCCAAGAAAACAAACAGATTCTTCCTGGAGAGGGTTAAACCAAGGCTACTCCTTGGAGGCAAGGATTCTGGGGCTTCGTCTGACATACTTTGGGCATGTTGCAAGGAGGGGCAGGTCCTTGGAGAGGGACATCATGCTTGGGAGGGTGGAGGGGCTGCGCAGGAAGAGAAGACCCTCTATGAGGTGGATTGATTCAGTGACTGGGGTAATCAGGATGGGTGTGTCAGAGGCAATGCGACTGGCACAGGACAGAGCAGAGTTTAGGGCTGTTGTACGTAGGGTCGCTATGAGTCGCAAACGACTAGACGGCATATAACAACATTAAGACTATGTAAGATAACAAGCAGGAAACTAGAAATATCTTTTGAAGAGCAAATTCAGTCCATCAATAGATGCTGTAACAGGCATTACGCTTTGCACAAAAGACTTCAGTATAGTATAAATGGGACAGAATAGTCACCAATGAGAAGTAGCCTGTCTACTAATTTTTATTGAAATTATCATATCTTTACTGTTAGAACACTCTACAGTAATTTACATTCTTTTTTTCTACTAAAATAGAGTTTTGCAAATATGAGCAGATACTTAATCCCTGAGATTAAAAAGCATCTATTAAATTTTAGAAAGGAGTACAGTGGGTCACGTGAAAATATAGATCACTTTATGAAACAGATAAAAGCCTCAACGTCAGAGTTTACATCTACAAACACCTGTTGCCCTGGCTTGGATGCCTGGTTGGTAGCTGCAGGACAACAACGGCTATAATTGAGAATGTACCAAGGTAGAAGGGAGAAAGGCTAGATTTTAGAAATGTGCAACAGGAAAGTATGTGAGAGGGCAGGAGGACGGGTGAGCTGGGGAGGAAACGGAAGAGTGAGAATGTGGGAAAGAGCGCGGAGACTAGAGCAGAGGAAGACCATCAGGGCTGAGACGTCACAGCTGAGAAGTTCTGGATCACTGATAGCCTACATCAAAATCACGGTCTGCTCTATTACAGGGATTAGAAAGCAATATTCTAAGCTAAACAATCTACTGATTCTTTATCAATGAATGATGATTTTAATGAATGTATATTTAATATAACCTTGAAATAAAGAGCGAGCTCACATTGTAATTCATACATAAAGTCTTTACCTAATTTACAGTAAGTGAATATTGTGAAACTTCAGTCAAGCGGCCAGGGTTTTCAGGTTAAAGTCAGTGAACATGGGTGGTGCCCACATCCTGAGCACAGGCACCGAGCCTCCAGCAATCTGCTCTTCTACCCCCGCCTGGTAGCAGGGCGCTGCCAGTGAGCCCCGGGGCCAGAATCCACCAGGGGCTGTGCGGGAGGGTGACACGCAATCTCCCTCCTAGCGCTCTCCAGCCTTGCGAACCCGCTGCAGGGTAAGCCAGGAGATGATTCTGACTTGATGGCAATGAGTGTGAGCTTCTGAGCTTCAGATCTGTGTAGCGTATTTTTTTTTTAATCTTATTAACAGTATTTATTTATCTTTCCTCAGTCAAACCCTGAGCCAATCACTTTCCCCAGGCTGCCTGGAGAGTTACAGGGCAAGGAACATACATAGAGTAGACGAGACACGGGGGGAGAAAACCAACCAGCCAACCATGGGAGGTGGAGACAGCTCCTTCACAAGGCGAAGAGGATCAGAAAGGCCACCATCAGGCAGAAGAGCCCCGTGGCCTGTGAGAGGGCAAAGCCCAGAACAGCGGAGGAGAAGAGCTACTGCTTCAGAGGAGGATTCCTGGCGTAACCAATGATGAGGCTCTCAAACACAGTCCCCAATCCCAGCTCCAGAGCCAGCCACTCGGACCGCGGCAGCCCCAGCCCCAATGAACTTGGCTGCTGTGTCAATATCCCTGGAGATAGTGCTGGTTTGGAAGTTGCGACTTGGGATAAATGAAATCAAGGAACATGGGGCTGTCAAGCAGTGCCTCTGGTTGCTTCAGGACCACTGCAGACAATGGATGGCTCTCCAGCTGAGAGGCCTCCTGACCAGGGGAGGGGTGGAGACAAACTTGGCTCAGGCATAGATTTTCAGGGGATGAGGGGCTGTGGCAGCAAAGCTGCTCCTAGTCTGTGTAGCATATTTTTAAAGTATACTTCTGGCATTTCCTTTCTTGCATGAAGCAAGTAATAAAGCTCAAATGTGGCCTTTGGCATTTCTAGAGAAAATACCGCTGAAGGTTAGTAACTGGTAAATCAATTATTAATGATACTTCTGGAAGGAGATGAACATCAGTAAAGATCTTGAAAACATTTGGTAGATGTGATTTAAGAAAACAAATAGTGATGACAAACTAAAGAATGTATTAAGTGAGGGAAAATGCTTATATTTACTAGGTTAGTTCAAGCAAGAGAATTCATTCCCTCTCCCCCCCGAAATGTTCTCTCCAATGGAAAACAGAAAGAATTCCTTAGGACAGTATCTATGACATTGATCACAGTTCTGTTGGAAGGCAGTAGAGTAGTATAAGCACTATTAACACTGGTTCAGGACTTCAAAGAGCTAATGAGATAGATAATCTGGCCTTTTTTTAAAAAAAAAAAAACTGATTCGCTTGCAAAGTTTATATATTGTGTTTCACACTATTCTTCATTCACATTGTATTTCATACAATCATTCTCATACATTATATTTTATAAACTCAATCACCATTGGACCTGCCCCATCCTTACCTTTTTTGCCTGGATCCTTCCCATTTGCTTCTCCCCTCCACCCCCAAACTGTGCAACCCTGTGATTTCACACCTACATAGCCTCACCCCTTCACTGCCCCTACCGCCGAGTTCCTGTATTGAGAAACTGTGGTTCGTTCACACAATGGAATACTATGCAGCACTCAGGAGAAATGAGTTTTAAAAACTACGTAACTTGGGAGAGGCTGGAGAACATTATGCTGAGTGTACTAATGCAGTCTCATAAAGACAACAAATGCATAAGACCACTACTGTAAAAAGAGAAGGATAACCAGCTTTTTAACAGCCGGGCTAATTAGCACTATTTAGTCCCTAAACACTCTCTCATGACACCTGCACTCTTGTGGCTAACCTCAGCCAGAGAAAAACAGACACAAAATTCACAACAGCTAAACACAAGTGGATTCTAAGGCTAGTCAGAAAATACACTGTATTTTCCTACTCTCCTCAGTGTCTCCTGTACTTCTCTTCAAATCTCTCAAACCTCTCACCTCTCTCACGCACTCCCAGCTAAAGGCCTTGCTTTACCAAGAAAGTAGAACCACGTAGTTCACAGTTACCCATCCAAGCCTGTGGGCCGTACACTGGGCCTTCTCTTACTATGGAAACATCCACACTCCTGGCAAAGGCTAACCACTTGTGCACTTGATCCCACTCTCTTTCACATCCTTAAAGATACTACTGCCCAATGCCCTTTCTGTATCATTAGTTCTTTTCTCCATCAATATATTAAATATGCTCTCTCTCCTCTTTCCTTCCCCTCTAGAAACTACTCCATCTTCTCTTCAATCTTTGGATCTGAACTCCTTAAAAAAGAGTCAGTTTCCCTAGCTTCTCCTTTTCTTTTCATATCGTGGTTCTCTACCATCTCTTTCCACAAATGAAGTCAATGTGATTAATGCATATTCTCCAAGGACCTATTTATCAATTTCTTTTTTGTTTCCAACTTGTGCATTCCAGTTACCTATTATTATTATTACTACATCTTGAGTTAGTTCACATTTAACCAGTGTCAGAACTGGCTGGAGAATTCAGTAGAAATCCTACATTTCTCTATCTCTGCCTTTAGCGGGTGGTGCCCATATCTGAATAACTGTTACACTAACAGGTCTTGCCTGTATGTGGGATATTGTCATACCAATGATTGCATTATGCTTCAGGACAGATCCATCACTACATAGACTCCACAACCATGATGCGAAACATCCCAGAATTGACAGTAAGTACTCAGGAACTTTTTTAACAATGTGATTTCGTCACTACGTTCAAATGTGTAAACTGGTGGCTTCGAGTTTTGCAGGTCTTTTTAAAAATATTAATTTCGCTTCTAGGGTTTATGCCCCTGGAACCAGTCTGAGCTAGAATAGCAAATAATGGAAACAGCAGTAGGTAAGAAGCAGGAGAACTGACCAATTGCAATTTCCGAACTAACTCAATATGTGCCCTTAGGCAAATCGTTTCATCTCTCTGAGCCATTAATTTCCATATTTATAAAATAAGGGAGTTAGAATAGACGGTGCCTTGATGCTTCTCAGTTCTAATTTCCATGATTATTCTGAGACTTACAGTAGTCTGACCCAGGTGGTGGACTTGGCCAGTGGCAAATGGAGGAAATTATGACTGAATGAGGCTGGCTGGAAAGAAATGACCTTAAAGGGTTCCATGAACATTTAACTCTTTGAGATAAAACAAAGCTGTGTCTTAAGCAAAACATTAACAATTGGGGTAAAAAAGAAAAATTTTTGTTGTTTTGCACAGGACAACACTTGCTAGTCTTAATGAACTATCTCACACAAACAGCCCTCATCATACCAGCAGTGTCGTCTCCAGGTTATCAATGTCTGACTTTTAGGAGCACTCCTACCTGGCCTTTAATTTTATGTATATCTGTCCTAATTTTGAAATGACTCACCAACACAATCACAATCACCTTCATTTGCGGCACAAGCAGCTTCTAAAGCACTGAAACGGCTTCAAGCCTTTCCTGCACTGTCCACAGTAAGGCTGGATAAGGACTGTAAGCACTTACTCTGACTTCCCTACAATCCTTAAAGACACAGTTGGGAACGGCTATCACACATAACCAGGAACCGCCTCTATACTCAAAATATCGGACAGCCTTGATGCTCCTTTACTATGCTCCCAAATCAGTGGGCTGGTGTTGAGTTTATCTTTTAATAAGACATTTACTAGCCATTATCTGACTATGCTATATAGATGGGCAGGAATACGCAAATAACGTGTGTTAGCCTATCCACAAGGGGACTGGCTATTTGCTGTTCCACGAGAAGATGACCAGTCTCAACAGTCTACAAGGGTACTGGATAGTCTTACCAATAAACTGAACAGCTCTAGCTGCAGAGACAGATATTCTGGTGCCATGAAGAGAAAGCAAGACAATGTAGGACGCCCTTCCTGCTCTAGTTACCCCTAAGACAGCATAACTTACAGTCAAAGTGGAGACCTGATGTGAGATGGGACTGTGAGGGGCCGGGAATAAATACTGGCAGGACTGTGAACTTTGTTGGACAACTGGGGGTGAGAAGCCAGTATCGGCAGCATTGAGAACCTGGAACATCAAGCCACGAGGCTTGAGGTTGAGGTTCCTGCATACACATTTTGGGAGCTGTCTTGAGTATTCTGGACTATAACTTTTTGACATCCCCAGTAAGGTTCTGTGTGGTCTACAAGCTATTGCATCGGATTTTGGATGCTGCAAAGCAGTAAGATTTGTATTGAAATGTGTAGAAAGAGTTATGGAAGCATGGGGGACATGTGTGACCTCATGGGAATCGGTTTTGTGTTATTGATGCTTTTGATGGGGACAGTTTCCCTCTGAGAAGTTGATAAGGTCAGCTATGGTTGTCGCCACATGGCCCTTGCTCTTTTTACAGAAATTTTCCTTTAGTATTTAATCCTTCTAGTTTAAAACAGGAAAATATTTATTGAATGAAAATCCTAAAGGAGATTTAGAAGCAAAGAGAGGAATACATAAAGATAAAAGAAACTTAAAAAGAAGTCTCCACTTTTATTTTTCCACATCAGACTTTTCAATTCTACATGATTTTTTTTGGGTATCAAGATAATGAAGAACAAAGACAGAATACAGGAAAATGTATAGAGAAATTTGTATTCTAAGAAACGGTGCCAACAACTGATCTGTAACTGAGTAAGTTACACTGTTTTCTTACACGCAGAGGAAGACTCTCAAACACAAAACTGTCAAAGTGGGGATATATCTGCATTTATTTTTCCTTATATTCACCCTCAAATCTTGTTCAGCTACAGAATAAAAATAGCACACAACATGTGAGCAAATAACTGTAATAAATACCAAGAACTTATGGGATATTACATATGCAAGACTAGAAATCATACCTTCGGCTGTTAGAAACCAGCAGCTGGATACTCCTTCAGTTAGCTTAGTTCCTGACGGGAGGCCTAATCCTAGCTGGAACTGAAGAGTCTGGCCTGGAGAAGCAGTCACTGGGGAAAGACTGATGTGTGGAGCAGATTTAGGCAGTTTGGGTAATGTCTTCCATTTGTCAGGCTGGACTGGACCATCTACCACAGCATTTTCCGAAGTGACAATAGGGAGCTATGAAATAATATTTGTTATTAAAGACCAAGCAGTAAAAACTGTTATAAAGAAAAGTTTCTTTTTAGATTTTAGTAGAACACAAAATTCTATGTCAATGAAGCATAACAACTATTCTAGCTAAACTAGAAATGTGTTCAGTTATTTAGTTCAAGGTTATAGTTATAGGAAAAAAATTTCATCTGGCAGAAAGATTATCAGCACAAATGAGGGAAACAAATTAATTGTCCGGTATGTTTAGAAACGGCAGAAAACTTCACCAATTTAAAGGTAGTGAACATGATGCACATTCTCATTATTTTTATCAGCAGGTTAAGGTGCCATGTACATTACGTAAGAGTTGTATGTCAATAGAAATAACACCTGTAAAAAGAACTTTTCTTCTTCTTTTCAATATGTATCTCAGGAATTTCTAAAATTTAAAAAAAAAAACCCTCTAGCAGTTAATATTTTGCACTGGTCTTTTCTCCTTTAAGATTCTACTACAGACTACGTTCACATCTTTAAATACTGCTTAGCATGTAAGTTTCTTTCAGTCTAATTTTCAGTATTTTAAGAAATGTTGCTTCTAAAATTTTCATTAGATTGTTTGTTAGTGGGTTCAAAATAGAAAAGGACTAATAAAAAAACTGACCACCAACTCACATAATATTACTGAGACTGTATGTTTAAAAATATTCCCATTGTGGGAAAGTTCTACCACCTCCTTCCTTCTCAAACTCTCAAAGATGAAACTTTTGATTATAATAATGTATGCCTTTGAGCTGTGGTGCTGGAGAAGAGTATTGAGAATACCATGGACTGCTAGGAAAACAAACAGATTTGTCCTGGAGAGGGTTAAACCGGGTGGCTCCTTGGGGGCAAGGATTCTGAGGCTCCGTCTAACTTACTTTGGACATGTTGTGAGGAGAGACCGGTCCTTAGAGAGGGACATCATGCTTGGGAGGGTGGAGGGACGGCGCAGGAGGGGAAGGCCCTCTATGAGGTGGATTGATTCAGTGACTGGGATAATTGGGATGGGAGTGTCGGAGACAGTGCGATTGGCACAGGTCAGAGCGGAGTTTAGGGCTGTTGTACATAGGGTCGCTATGAGTCGCAGGTGACTTGACGCACATAACAACAACAACATCTCGAAAGTAGTGCTATTGGTCAAATTATCAAAGTATATGTCAGAGGAATTACCCTATGACTTTGTTTACATGTATCAATCACCTCCACCACTGACATGGTCTAAACCCCAGTCACCTGTCAGTGACCTGACACCCGTAACGCATTCTTAAAATGATAACCTTTAAATTTATATTCTAAGAATACTTACCACAGAAATTGTTTTTGTTTCTAAATCCATCACTTTAATTTGATGATTATTTGTGTCTGCTACATATAATAACTGACCATTTTCTCCAATACACAAGCCTCCTGGTTCATTAAAAGTTGATTCTGTAAAACTGGAACCAATTATGTTACTTGCATCTCCTGTTCCTGCTAATGTTGAACACATTTTGGTTTTTGGATCCACAACTTTAATCTAATGAAAAAGAAAACCAACACGAGTCATGTTTGTAATTAGAAGAATGTATTATAAAGTAAGCTAGAGAATTGCTGATTACCAGTACTATGCTCTGTCCTGTTTATAGAGCTAAAAGCTATATAAAATTCCCAGTAACATTTGTATGCTAGAAGCAATCGTTGATGGAATAATTTGAGATTTGATATTAAGTATAATATAAAAATGAGTCCTTCACAATGGGAAATATTTTCAAAACTAAGCTTTCTATTTATGAGAATCTAACACAGGGCTACAGATTTGCTGCCTTGTTAAATGTAAAGATTCTGTTATACTTCAATTATATTAAACTTCTGGGTGAAAAGTATTAATATTTATTTTCTACTGATTTTGAAAAAAAGAGAAATGCAATAAAAATAGACTATGTAGGAGCAACGAAAATGGAAATTAGGCTGAACATGAAATCATTTGTTAAGAGGCAGTGCAATTATGCAATAGCTCAAAAATGTTCATTGTTAGTTAACATAGTCATTTCCCTGTTATTAAGATTCTTGTTTATTGAGCACATTACTAAGCAGCTTTAATGGACTGAAATTCACTTTTTACTAAACATTTTTACTGTGATTAGTGTACAAGTTTACAAATCATATTGTATGTTTGTTTCTCCCCTCCCAGATAATCAATCATGTATAATTTGCTCTGTAACATTATTATACAAACATCTGAGCCTGTAGATCCCTTCATCTACTCCAAAATGCCATCCTTTAGTTTTCTATTTCCTTACTCTAACCAAATTTTTTATTCTCTCTACACTGTAAACTTTTCTCTTGGTTTGACATCACTGAAATTCACTTTTCCCCACAATCACTGAGAATTTGTTAAGTATTTCTCCAGTTCCGATTATCATCACCACCTCTTTGTTGAGGAGGGACCAAAAAAAGAATAGAATCTGCTTGTATGTAGTTGTCAAAGACTGTTCTCTCTAATGCAGAGGGGACAGTAATAGGAGGCTCTCACTGATTTCTCAGCACATTTTTTTTAATACCACATACGAAGGACAGGGCATTAAATAATTCTGTTAAACTCACCTTGTGATTATAGGAGTCTGCCACGTAGAGTAAACTCCTCTTCTTGTCCCAAGTAACTCCCAGTGGGTGCTGAAGCTTTGCGTCGATTCCTACTCCATCGATATCACCAAAAGCAAATAAATTCTTTGATTTTTTTTTAAAAAAGAAAAGAAATGGTATTTATTAAAATTTTACAGTACTTTATTAAGGAATAAAATGAAAAATTAAGGCTATTTTGTATGTTATTTAAGTCAAAGAAGTCAAGTCTGACTTTCACACCAACAGGGCTGGGAATTTGATTCAAAGACTAGACAGAAAATGACAGGATTTGAACCTACGCTCAGGTGGGTGCTTTAGTCACAGCATCACAGAGAAGGTTTAGCCCGCTTGCCTGGTGCTTTTCCAACTCCTCTGACAAATATCTGAGTCACATTCTCCTCCTCTCTCCAGTAATTAATATTTCATCTTCCTAAAGCATTAATTATTTAAAATATGGTCAAACAGAGTCAGTTTACTTTTCTGAGATGGCTTTATGACTGTGTTTCTTTATAGGCACATTTTCTTTGGTCTGACTTGCATTTTGATTTATGAAGCCGAGTGCTCTCGCTCCTAAATCTGTATTCCTTCTCCACCTCTCTGGGGTCTGAGCTTGGAAGGGTCAAGGCGTACTGTGTTAGGACATGCATTACCATGGGGTCTCTTTCGCCTCCGACGAGGTGCTTCACTGCTCCATCCTTCAGCGAGACGGTTCTCACAGTACTGCTCTCGCTATCTGCTACAAACAGGCAGTTCCAGGGCTCCTCGGAGGCCAGGGAGAGGCCTGACGGCTGGGCAAAACCTGCCTTGTGAGGATATGCATTGTTCCGATTCTCTTCATTCCCGCTTCCAGCAAAGCGAAGGCATGTCCCTTTTTTTAACTCACTACAAAAGGACAAATTCATTGTATAGTCAACAGTGCTATAATTTTATCCAACTGAGTTATTAAAGAACATGTATTAAATGATCAAATCATTGAAAGCAAAATTTAGTGTTCCTGGTCTATTAAAATGTTCAAGTCTGCCTTAAAGCTTTTCTTATTTTTTTTTTTTTACTAATTTTAATGAACATTTACAGAGATTTTGGATTTCCATTCATTCATTGTTGCACTTTTCTCCCCGCCCACCCCATCGCCATGCTTTTCTTATTTTTCAATCATTAACTTATTTGTCCACTAGTAAGGTTCTTCCTACTTTTCGTTGATACACATAAAACGGAAAGCATTCTCAAAGCCTAGACAAGAACTGAGACTGCCAGAATTATAAGAATAACATCACTGGGATGGGTTTTCCCCTCCAATTGATCAGCTCTAAGAATCCCACCTTTAGTTTCTTGACCTTTTCTTAGCTTCTTACAGTATCAGTCTTTCAAAGAGTATTAAAGAGCTTATCTAGTTCCTGATAGTTAAATTTTCATTAACTGTCTTATTTTATAAGACTAGCCAAAGGCACTGAAAAATTAATTTCAAAAGGGTAAGTCAAGCATTATCAATTTTAAGAAAATGATGGTATGAATCAGTTTCTCTCGGATCGTGTAGCCATTTAGGGAACTGCACTACTAATCAAAAGGTAGTGTGTCACTGGAAGCTGGAATCCACCTGTGGCTCTGAGGGAGAATGACAGACAATCTCCTCCCTGGGCTTTACATCCTTGCAAACTCACTGGAGGATAAGCTACACTGAGTATATGTTGTTGTTGTTGTTGTTATGTGTCGTCGAGTCGTTTGCGACTCATAACGACCCTATGTACAACAGCCCTAAACCCTGCTCTATCCTGTGCCAATCGCACTGCCTCCAACACACCCATCCCAATTACCCCAGTCACTGAATCAATCCACCTCATAGAGGGCCTTCCCCTCCTGCGCTGTCCCTCCACCCTCCCAAGCATGATGTCCCTCTCCAAGGACCTGTCTCTCCTTACAACATGTCCAAAGTATGTCACTGAGTATATACATTAGGGAAATTTCTGCTTAAAGGGGAATTCCAGTAATTCTTTTTTGTAATGGAAAGAAAATTTTACACCTTTGGCTTCTATAAAATTTTAGTTTATGGCAGGGGGTTGTATTCTGTCTGTACTGAGGGAAGGGAAGAAGCTGACTTAGGATACCACACAATCAGAGCCCAAACATGGCAGAGCATGCAACTCCAAAATGACTATCAATCATATATTGACATTTACAGTCCCAGGGCACAGTTAGGTGGGAGGGAGAGGATGGAGGCAAAGTAATATAGAACGTATACAAAATGATCACTTACTCAAAGAACTTATAAAAATAACCTAGACAGAGAAGTACATGTACTAATTAATTCACATAATAAATAGACCAAAAGTTAATTACTATAAGGAATCTTAAGATGTGAAAAGGATTTCTACTCAACTGCTCTGTATGTAGGAGGTTCAGAGAACGAGGGAAATGGTAACTCCCTGCAGAAGCCAGCATTCTGACGCCCCCTCCACTGCTGTTGTGCTGTTTCCAATAATGCCTCGGGTCGAAAACGCAGGGGTAACCCCTCTGTTTGCGTAACTATCATGTCTTGCTTCAATAGCAGCAAGTCTCCAGACTGATATCTCTCCATCTCCCCTGGTTCCCACTTGAAATACTGCTAAATCACAAATTAATAATATCACTTCCAGGCTTAAAACCTTTCCATAAAGATTCAACATCTAAACCTCTTAAAAAAGGACTTGGGAAGCCCTATGTGACTTCGCCTCTGTTAATATCACAAGTACCCTCTCTTACCTGAAAATCTCTTCCTTTTCCTATCAATCCTCTTCTACCAAGGTTCAGTTTGGCAGACTGCTACTGGAAGCCTTCCCTGAAACTGAACTCTGACTGACACAAGTGTTCCCCTTATTTAGATATGGAAGAGTTTCAATTCCTTAACTGAAAGGACTACTGAAATGTTAAAAATCTCACTATTTTTCATGTGATACAACTCTTCTTAAGAACAACCACCGTATTGTCATAACACAAGCAGAAGTTTTTGCATACTGTTGTTGTCTGTTGCAGAGTGTGAGCTGATGCACAGATGACTGACCAGTGGGATACAGTATGTGTAACAAATACTGGTTAGAGGAAGCTCTAAAAAGTGCAAAGCAGCTTATAAATGTTCCAAAGAAACACAAACACATACACAATTTGGATTATCTGATATCTGGATTATTTACATGCCTGTTCTCGTCTACTGAGGAAGGTCAGTGAGATGACCAGCACTTACTTTCTATGGGGATTGGATAGACTTTATGGTCATGCTTTTCATTCACTCACTCACTCACTTATTTATTCAGGAAACCCTCACTGAGCTCCATTATGTACCAGATACTGTGCTAGGAACAAGGGATAGAAGAATAGGTTAAGATATGGTCCCTTCCTGTAAGAGGCAGGCTAGTAAGGAAAACCAGTTACATAAACAAGTGAGCGCAGCCAAGAAGACGGTGAGACTATGGGGGTGAGAGAGGGCAGGCAGAAAAGAGAGCAAACCAGCAGCGCAGTGACGTAGCAACTCCACCAGATAGGAGAACACAGAAGAGCCTGGACAGTCCTACCTTACGGCAGGGAGGAGGGAAAGGCTTTACAGAGAATATGTAAGAAACGCTGCAGAAATTCTACCATTTTCTTTTAGATCTCCAACAGGGGAGGCAAAGATCTATGATAAGCATTTACTGCAGATGGAAGACACAATGCTGGGCTCTTCACAGTGCTTGTTCTCAAATGACGGATGACGTCGTAAACGAGGAAAAGGAGGTTTTGAGTTCAAAGATGTTCTCCGGAGCTCCCGCTGACGATAAAGGGCAGAGCTAGCATTCAGTTTTAGATCCAATGATAAAAACTGTAGTGACCACTTTGTTGTTTGGTACTCAAATATTCGAACAGGTGATTACTGATATCTGAGCTGTGTCTTACAAGATGCATCCCATATAGTCCCAGTTCTCAATGTCTGGTTTGGTGTTTCTTGGTTTTCTCCCCCCTCCCCCACCCACCGAGCGTTATTTAATTAAGACGTGACCATACCATACCTGCTTGGGCTGATATAATGTAAAAAGTGATAACGTTACTTTAAAAAAAACAGTTTAACAACCTTTTATACCAACAGGAGAAAAACAATGAACACTGCATTGGAACAGATTAAGGAAAGAACTGTTTAAAAGAAACATATGATTGGACATTATTTCTATAACAAGAGTCCAGAATAAGAGGGACAAAGCAAGTAGACTGAAAGAGGAGGGGAGGGAGGAAATTATGCAACAGTGAATTAATTTTTTTTTAAAGTTTTTTTTTTATTATTTTGTGTGTGTGTGTGTGTGTGTACTGAATTAATTTTTTTTTTTTAAAAAAACTGAACTGAGGTGGGTAAGGAAGAAAATGTACAACAATGAATGAATGAAAAGTCAACTTTCTATAAACTTTTGTTAAGTTCACAATAAAACAATGTATACGAACTTTGTAAGTAAACCAGTATTTAAAAACAAAAGACCAAAAAACCCCAACCAAAACCAAAGAACCACCTTTTTCTCTTCTCCCTTCCCAGTAACTGGCAAAGCTCCAGACGGCAGAGGCGTCGTCAGAATGGGAGGGAGCGTTCTCTCCCGCAAACTGAGCGAGTGAGCTGAAGTGAACAAACCCTTGCTCTTTGAAGCTACCAAGAACCTGGGTGCTCGTTACAGAAGCACAGTGCACGATACCCTGACTCGTACAGTGGCTGGCCAGCATGATGACTTTGTGAAAGGACGGTCTGTGATTTCGATGGAGCACAGTAATATTCTGTGGCTAAAGAACGAGCTGAAGACCTATTACTGACCCAAAGGTAGATGTGGCTACTTACTTTTTCTTGGGTAGTTTGCCACTGTCCAAAAGGAGGGCCCATATCTGATGAATCCCTGCCATGGCGATCCATAGAATATCATTTCTCTGAACCTCTGAAGCTTGAGCAAAATAAAAAGTAGTTACTAGATACATTTTGTCAACATTCGGATTGTTTCAGAAATTGAAATTCAGAAAGGGCAGTAATATGTTTATCATCTAAAATAATATTAGCAAGACTTTATGTTGTTTTTTTAAATTGTCCATTTTCTCTGTAAAAGATTTACTTTGTTAGACATATAATCTTATGTATAAAGCTTTCAGCATCAAAGCTAGAAGTGATAAACTGTAAGCTTCTATTATGGCATCACTACAAACAGTGTTTTGCTTGTTTCCTTTGTAAGCCTTGAGAAATGAGAAAAAGAACGGAAGCAGCGGCAGTGGCAAGTCAGGATTCTGTGTGGGATTCCGTACCATTATACAGAAGGTGAGGACCACACCGGCAGTGGAAGGAATGCCAACCACTATGAACATTTCCTACACGTGAGGTAATGGGCTAAGCACTTTTCCAGAATTATTTTCCTTAATTCAATGCCCTTATGGAATTTCATCACTTCCATTTTATAGATAAGGAAACAAATTCAAAGAGTGTAACAGTTTGCTGCTATCCACACCACCAGTAAGAAAACAACAGGTCTGGACTGCGTATCCCTTCATGAACATGCCTTTCTTGGCCTGACTGGAAAAACTGCTTAAGAGTGACCACGTGCTCTCACACCCCATTCTCGCTCCTCCTGTTCTCTCCCTCCTCGGACCCACACACTTGGCTCTGGCACCCAGTTCTTAAGTATATTTTCATGTGTGACCAGAAATAAGAGATCTAATCGAAGCCCTCACAGCTTCCCACTCTAGGACGTGTGGTGGGGCTCACGTCTTCTGTCCGTCTCCTTCTCAGGTTGGTATTAGTGTGTCAAGCTGGCTCTGAATGATGGTGGCACCTTACGTCTAAGAGAATGAAATCCTGTCAGGTCCTGTGCCATCCCCCTAATCACTGGTGTGTTTGATTCCACCAGTGTTGCCAATTTGCTTATCCACCTCCCTGAGGCTTTCCCCTCAGGTTTACTGGACCATATTATTGTCAGAACTGACTCAAAGCTGAACCTCCAGAAGGTTCTCAAGGGCAGTAACTCACATGGGAGGATACTGCCCACCTTTCTCCTGGGGAGCAGCTACCTAGTGGATTTAAACCATGTACCCTTGCGCTGATAGTGTATTTCCGTACCACTAAGTCACCAGAGCTCCCTGGACCATAGAAGTCCTTTAAATACCAGGCTAAGAAGTTTGGCTGTTATTCTCTAAGACTTTTAGGAACTACAGAGACTGTTTCAGATTATCACCACATAGCTGATCTTGTCAGAATCATATTTTAGGTGGTCGTTGCTGTTATGTGCCCTCGAGTCACCTGCCACTCACAAAGACACTATGTACGATAGCTCTGAACTCTGTCCTATCCTGACCCAATCTCACTGTCTCCGACACACCTGCCTCCATTACCATAATCAAGGTGTCAATCTATCTCATTCAGGGTCTTTCTCTCCTGTTGCTGTCCCTCCACCCTTCCAAACAAGGTGTCCTTTTCCAAGGACTGGTTCCTCCTGGCAACTTGCCCAAAGTATGTCAGAAAGAGCTTCAAAATCCTTGTCTCCTGACAGCAACTTGGTTTCACTCTCTCCAGGACAGAACTGTTGGTTCTCTTGGCAGTCCACAATATGTTCAATACTCAATAATCAAAGGCATCAATTCTTCTGTCATCCTTATTCACTGTCAGTCCTCTGATGCATAGCAAGTAATTGCGAAGACCATGGCCTGGATCAGGCGCACCTTAGTCTCTAGACAGACATTCTTTGCACTTTAGCACTTTGGAGAGGTCCTGGACAGCAGACTTTCCTAATTCAATTCACCTTTTGATTTCCTGGCTGCTGATTCTAAGAGTGTTAACTGTGGACCCGTGCAAGCTGAAATTGTTAACAATCTCAATCACGGTGCTGCCAATCGGTCCAGTGGTGAGAATCTTTGTTTTCTTGACGTTGAGCTTCAAACTATATTGAAGACTGCAGTTCTTGACTTTCTGCAGCTTCAGGTCTTGCTCGGTTTCAGCCAGCAAGGTTGTGTCATCTGCATTAACGTAGGCTGTTGATCAGCCTTCCTCCGATCCTGATGCCACATCCCTCCTCATACAGACCAGACTCCTGAATGATTTGTTCTGCACACAGACTGAAGAGGTATGGAGGAAGGATACATCTCTGATGCATTCCTTTCCTGATTCTAAACCATGCAGTGTTTCTCTGCTCTGTTCTGATGACTACCTCGTGGTCCAGGCACAGGTGTTGCATGAGCACAATCAGATGTTCTGGGATTCCCATTTTTCTCAAAGTTAGCCCCAATTTTCTGTGATCCACATAGCGAAATGCCTTTGTGTAATCAATGAAACACAGACATTCTTCTGCTACTCTCTGCTTTCGGCCAAGATCCACCCGACATTGGTAATCATATCACTAGTGTCACAGCCTCTTCTAAACCCAGCCTGTACTTCTGGTAGTTCCAGTCGTTTGAGGTAGATGATAAAATAAAACCAAAATCAGAGCCATAAACTCTTTGCTAACTAACTCTGTGCTCACATCAGCTAGGACTGACTTATGAATAACCTACACTTGTGGCGAGCCCCTGTGCAATGCTTTAACATGATCAGTTAACTAATGGAAATTCAGGTTAAAAGTTCAATTTCAGTCAGAGGTGTTTTAGAAGAAAGGCTGGAAGATCTACTTTTGACCAGCCACTGAAAAACCTGTGGAACACAGTCTTACTCTGATTCTCACATGGGGTCACTACAGGCAGGAACTGACTCAAGGATACCTGGCTTTACATTAATTAAAAAAAAAAAAATCTTATTAACCTCAAATCAGTGGGAATAATAAAAGACTCACTACTCAAATTTTAGGTATTAAAAAGATTATAATTCTTCACATTTTAACAAAACAGAACAGTAATAATAATACTGCACAAAATATATTCCTGAAATATGGTCTGTACCATAAATTTACTTTTAAATGTAAACTATTTTAATCAGTTCTGACTCAACTGTACACAGTAAAAATTTTATAGCATATTTTAAAAACTAAGAGAAGCCTATTATCGAAGCACTGTAAATTATCAGACTAGTGTATTAAATACACTTCAATTTTAAAAGGATGAGTAACAACAGTTAAACTTCTATCTAGAGAAAAATGAAGATTAAAGGGCCAAAGAAGATTAATGGGATTGGGAAACAGCCTTTCTAGAAATGAATCTAGATTAAAGTCTAAAGCAGGTAGGAGACTGGCAGGGCTTTCACCTTCATGATTTAAGCAAAACAAAGCAAAACACTCCTCAGGTGACTGATACGGGGAAATGACCCCAGAGCTGATGCCCACTGTGGCACCATGGCAAAGTTCCTGCTGAAAAATAGGAATTTCTAGCAGTTAGTAATTATTTTCAATGTATTATCAAGCTGTGACTATATTTAAAGCAGTAATAAAAAAGAATGGGTGGAAAAAAGTAGTCACTTTTATAAAAATTACTTTATGCTATTATTTCTTTTTCCTGGAATAGCATAATCATGGTAAAAATTGGGGGCTCTTTAAAATATGTACAAATATACATTTACATATTATAGGTAAGTTTTTAGTCATCAGAATATTCCAAGCCCCCTCCTCTAATCTCTTCTTGATGTTATTAAACGAAGTCCTTTGGTAGGATATACAATCACTGCATATCCGGCCTTGTTGGTTTTTTCTTTTACTTAAGCTATCGTTTTTCTTAAGTGTTAAATAAAGATTTTTAATTAAACATACACATAAATATAAGTTTAAATAACAGTAGCAACACACTCATGTGTTCAGTCCTCAATTATCAAGCCCAAAGAAACATTAAATTCCTTTTATGATCATATCCATTTCTTCCTCCTAGAAAGGACCCCTCAATTTTTATTCGGTTATGCCACAATATCACAAATTTCTTCTGTAGAGTTTTCCAGATCATTTCTTCTGACTCTTTCTGATACCTGTGCATGCTTCTGAATGTTGCTGTGGTCCACTTATTTGTACTACATGGCAGTCCACTGTATAAAGATACACTTTATAATTTATTTTTCACATTTGTCTTCTGATAATTCCATCATCTCTCAAATTCCTAACTACAGTAGCGTTCAGAAGCACTCTATAAAATGATTAAATATGAAAAACATGCTTTAAAAATTTTTTTCTCAGATTTACTTCTCTTCATATTCAGCTTATTCACACATCTGTTTATACCAGTTGTACAGTTATGTAATTTAAGTACTGTTGTTGTTGTGTGCCGTCGAGTCGTTTGCGACTCATAGCGACCCTATGTACAACAGCCCTAAACCGTGCTCTATCCTGTGCCAATCTCATTGCCTCTGACACACCCATCCCGATTACCCCAGTCACTGAATCAATCCACCTCATAGAGGGCCTTCCCCTCCTGCACTGTCCCTCTACTCTACCCAGCATGATGTCCCTCTCTAAAGACCTGTCTCTCCTTGCAACATGTCCAAGTATGTCAGACGAAGCCCCAGAATCCTTGCCTCCAAGTAGCAGCTTGGTTTAATCCTCTCTACGATGAATGTTTGTTTTCTTGGCAGTCCATGGTACATTCAATACTCTTCTCCAGCACCACAGCTCAAAGGCGTCAATTCTCCTTCTATCCTCCCTAGTCATTGTCCAACTCTCTGATGCATAACAAGTGATTGCAAAAACCATGGCCTGTATCAGGCGGACCTTAGTCTCCAGAGAGACACTGTTGCTCTTGAGTATTTTGGAGAGGTCCCTAACGGCAGACTTTCCCATCGCAATACGTTTTTTGATTTCCTGACTGTTGGTGACAACAGTGTTGACCGTGGAGCAGAGCAAACTGAAGCTGTGAACAATCTCAATCTCTTCGCCATCCATCCTGATGCTACCGATTGGTCCAGTGGTGAGAATTTTTGTCTTCTTGACATTGAGCCTCAGTCCATATTGAAGGCTGCAGTCCTTGACCCTCTGCAGTAACTGCATGAGGTCCTCTT